ACATTGAGTTAGAAGTAAGAAGTTGTCATAAACTACAAAAGTAGATGGTCGTGCCTATCATAATTTTCGGTCCTAGTGGAACTAACTCTAACTCTAATTGTCGTAAACACCCATTGTTACAAATATATCACTATGATATTTTTTTTCATATCATAATAATGTCACAATGATATCACATATGTGACAAAGCGGACACTCGCACGTCACCATAACTTCGCCGTGACTTCATTGCGCAAAGTAACGTTATGTCACTGTGACATTTTGTGCTATGTGGGTTATGCTCATGGACTATAAACAAGTCAGATATCAGTTGATATTCTATCTCGCAACAATTGTCCTGTAAATGTTCATATGCCTCTATTTTCACTACATCTACTTGCTACTTATGGAAATATAAGACGTTTAATCTTAAGAACAATAACAGTAAAACATTTGATAAATTAACACCTATAATCCTGGGTACTATGCGCAGTTTACAATAATTTTATTATTATCATTATTATTATCAATTTTATTATTAACAATATTGTATTATTATCAAATTATGAAAAATCAGCGGTATATTTAGCGCTGTTAATTAGTAAGTATTTATTGTTTTTTAGTGAAGTTAACTGATTCAGATTTTGAGAATAGAAATAGTAACGCCGCGCACACATACTATAGTCGTTTTATATGCAAATTTATTTGTGTTTACGTTTCTATTTCGTAATATGTTGCATACCATAACGTCACAATTAATTAGCTTTCACCTAATAGAATGAAAATATGTAGAAGCAATTATAAAGAGATATGACACAACGTATTTTTCTACAGTATCCATTTACTTGGACAACGTAGCGCCTATAGCGCGATGTTATTACGTCGTTTCTCAACGATTTAAGCAAGGCCAACTTTTACTATTATATTTGGATGGATTTGGTATTAAATACTCTACATTTCTTGTCCTTACAAAATCAAAAATTTTTTTGAAGGTAACGAGTGGGAGCGAGAAGGTAAAAAATTTGAAAAATTTTAAAAATGAAATACGCTGTTGCAAAGAGTATTAAATACTGTAAAACTTTTGTAGGACACATTTTTTCATATACCTCATATCTTAGGAAATATTCCATAAAAAAGAAAAAGTTCATTTTTCTGTTTCAAGCCATAAACTTCGAGATAAGCCAATGTAAAAAATATAGGTTTCTTTTTGATGCTCTACAACATATCCAGAGCGCGATGTCTCAAAACCAGTGAGGAACAATTCCGCCAGGTTCCTTGTAAGTTCATACAGGACTTAATTTCTGGCGACCAGCTCGCCTCTCTTAACCTTTAGAAAGCCACTTTTATGACTCTTGAGTTTGAGCTAAAATACTACTATTTTTAGTGGTATTTTAATTACTAAATGTATTAAACATATACGTGTATATATAGACTACGCAATGCGTATCTCTTCGGTGCTCGCTTTATGCACTTATGTCGCCAAAATATATGCACTAATTAATGCTTCATCATACATAACACCCTGCTTTAAAAATTATTATTTAAAGAAAATTTCATCATAATTACGGAAAGAAGTCAATATAAAAAAAATTATAAAATGTATTAAAAATATAAATGTTGAAAAATATAAAAAAAATTAAAAAATATAAAAAATTAAAAAGTTATAAAATATAAAAGTAAAAAAATTACAAAAATTAAACATTAGAAAAACCAAACAAAAAAGTCTGCATGAATCTATATGTTTATATTTATTTATATTGTATTTAAATTTCATAAATCTATGCTCAGGATTGGAATCAGCGATACCAAAAACCCCTAAATACACTATTTTTGAGAAAATAAAAATTTTTTATATTTGATCGTCCATTCTCTGCCGGGAAAGCTACTTTTGTGGCTCTGCACAAATCTTCAAATTCTGCGCCATGTTACTTATACAGAAAAAATTTTTTAGGAAAAGAAATCACTTTTTTAATGAAAAAATGCCGGTAGCCTAAAGGTTAAATCACCGCCTTACACGATATTCTCTAATAGAAGATTTACACTGCGTCCAATGTCTAACGTTCGACGTACGATATCCAATAAAAAATAGTTTGCCAATGGAGAATTAACTTCTCTGTTAGAAAGATATTCTCTTTTGGATCGGACGTCGGACACCGGACACAGTTTTCCAGTTGGAATTTTGATACTTCCGGTCAGTTTTGAGCTCTAAAATTATTTTCAATCGATTCTTTGACTATTTAAACTTTATGAAAAATTGGATTTGGATTTATTTAGTAATCTGAGCATTTTAAAAATTAAAATGAACACCTGGGTATTTGGCACTTTATCAAAATGATACATTTTTTCCTGAAAAGTAGGCACTCTAAACTTTCCAACGCGCCCTTGATCGTTTCGAAATTTTAATGCTAACATTCTTTATAAATTAAAAATCATAACGGAAATAAGATTTTTGGAACACTGTATTTCTGGAACGAAAAATTGGATCAACTTGAGATAGGTACCAAAATTTTCAGCTCATCAAGATATTTAAAACGGTACCCATTTCATCTATTGATTTCACTGCCTCGGAATGGGACACATTGCCTATAGGCATTTGGTCTCCCTCTTCTTTTATTTTTCTTTCATTGAATTATTTTCAACCGGAAACTCCTCAAGACAGGCTCTGGAAAATGAAAATATCGCGGCAAGGATGTATAAGCCTTCAGAAGAAATTTTTTGTTTTGAAAAATTCAAAATTGCGGGCTCAAAATGGAGACCAAACGTGAAAAATTTTATTCGCACCATAATTACGACATTAAATTTATACACACACACGCACGCACACATGCATTCCTACACCTATATATTGAAAGAAGCATATGCATATGGCCTTTCGTTTCAACCGAAAATTGTGACTTCAAAATATAATTGAAGAAGTATAATTGCCAAATTTAATTAAATCTGATGCAGTCACGTCTCTCAGCCAACAAAATAAAAAAGTTATTTATCGTTTCTCGACTCTCACTACGAGATGGACGTGAATCAGAATCTCTTTAATTTTTGTCTTTTTTCATTTTTTTTATTTCTTTAATTTTTTATTTTCGTTTTATTTAAAAATTAAAAAAATTTTTTTTAGTTTTTAGTTTTTTCAAGAGTTCCTGAAAAAAATGTTGAATCATTATAATAGAATCTCGAAGTAAAAACAAGATCTTTTCCATTTTACGGCGGATTAGATAATTTTGAATTTCAGTATTTTAAATGTGAAATTTGATAAATTTCTGTACAAGTTTGAGTATTCATCACATATACATGCACACGTGTAAGCGCCTTCTGCCTCCGCTCCACACACATACACACACACACACACACACTCACAGAAAAATATGAACTAATGCGCAAAAATATAGTATGTGTGGATATGGATGTGTGTGCATGCCTGCGTGCCTGCGTGCATGCGTGCGTGCGTGCGTGCGTGCGTGTGGCGACATTAACGTATTTTGAACGAGAAATTAGGAGAAAATCTCATATTTGAATCAACTAGAACGACATGGCGGGTCTGAGCAAGTTTTTAATGTACACAATTTCATGAAACGCATATGGTTTGTCAATATATGTATTAAAGTCAGTATAAATATTCTTTTGAATAACTTTAATGACGTAATTATAGTGCGAAAAAAGTTTTTCACATTTTGGCTGCCATTTTGAGCCCGTCATCTTCAATTTTTGAAAACAAAAATTTCTTCTGAAAGCTTATATATACTTGCCGCCATATTTTTACTTTCCACAGACTATTGTGACGATACAATCGTCACGACCGACCCGACCGACTACCAGTCGGGTCGGAAACGACGCTTTTCGCCACATTTTTAAGATCTTCACAATTCTCTGAGGTACACCGACTCTCGGCCGACGCTCGCACGATGCGAGCGTCGAGCACGTGCACAGTGTTTGAGCGCCACATGCCGCGCCGCGTGCCGACTCCCATCTTCGGCTCGCCGCCAGCGCGTGGGGGCTCCCGAGGGGGTATATAAGCCGGCTCGTGGAGTCGCTTCTCCCGACTCGATCCTGAGCGCAACTTCAACTCCTATCCGTTCCGTATAATCCGCTACCTGGACTAGAGCGTCTCTAATTCCGTCAAGCGTCTTGACAAGCGGACTCCTTGACTCGTACCTCCGCTCCGTATCCTCCGCTACCCGGACTCTCTGGTTCCGTCAAGCGTCTTGACGAGCGGACTCCTCGACTTCCGCTTCGCCACATCCCGCTTTGCACCTATCGCACCGATCTCCGTTCACCGCGTATCGCGTTGCGTCTATCATACCGATCTCCGTTCGCTGCGTATCGCGTTGCGGCTACCGTACCGATCTCCGTTCGCCGCGTATCACGTTGCGCTTACCGTACCGATCTCCGTTCGCCACGTACCGCGTCGTTCTCTGCGTCCGCCATTTTGCGCTGTCCGCTCATTATTTTGCGCCGTCCGCTATTGTCTTGCGCCGTCTGCTCTTGCTTTTGCACCGTTCGCTGCACCCCGTCGCTGTTACCGCGGCGACTATAGATAGAGCGTGAAACAATAAAACGTTGTTGAGTTTTTACCACGAGATTGTTTCTCTCTCCCTCCTCTGCGTCTAACCAAACCCGGGCATTCGACGAGCTGTCCGATCGGGTTGAGACCCGATATACTAGCCGGCCCGGGAAGGCCGACCGTCACACTATCTTGAAGAGTTTCCGGTCGAAAATAATTAATTTGATGAAAGAAAAACGAAAAATTTTCGGAAAAAAGCTTGTACTTTTCTTGCATTGCATTTTTGAGTGATTTGCGTTACGATATCTGAAAGAGCGACTCGAAAAGCATTAGAGATTTCATTTGCGGAATTTCTTCGACCCCTTTTTCCTATTCAGAAATAGAGCTGACAATAATGTACAAAACGTGTACATTTGGGGGTTAAAGGGTTAAAGAAGTCTTATTTGAGATATCCTTTTTTCACACATGCATGTTGTTTAAGAAAACAATACATTTTGTTATATATGTATATATATGTTGTTAGGGAGACAGCGGAGGACCACTCACCATCTTCAACATGATTCATGAATGTATGTACAATGTGATTGGTGTCACTAGTGTTGGACGACTGTGTGGAAGTATCATACCCGGTGTGTATACCCGAGTATATAACTACATTCCTTGGATAGAGAGAGCTGCATGGCCGGAATACTTTAAAAAAAACTAGTAGAATTAAGAATTAAATAAGATGTAAATCTTTTTTGTATAACACATACATTATTTTATATAACACATACATTACACAATAATACAGTTGTCTTTACGAGAAGTCCACACCTTTAATCTGTACCTTTAATCTTGATTCTTATCCCGTCTTATGTTAAAGATTGACAGAAGCCAAGAATAAATTATATTTAGAATCTCTATAATAAGAATCGAATACCGTATGTTCAATTTTTTATTGATTCCGATATTTCTGGCTAACTCTCTGGGATAGATATTTATTATAATGTTGTCATTTGATTTTTGTTTAATAAGAAATTCATTTTGGACACAGTTGGGTAGTAACTCTTTAAAAAGTTAAAATATAAATTAGAATTTAAAAAGTTGGTAACTTCTAATTCAACTTAATTAAGCAAAAATAAGTTAATTTTTAACTTAAATTCACGAGGGGAACACCAGGTGACTGTTCCGGGGATTTTGATGCGCTTTTTACAGGTTGTTCTTGGGCGAAAAAAAACGACACGTGTCCGGTCGTTTCAGCCAATGGGCCATAGTTTCGAAAAAATCGATTTTTAAAAATGACTCTAGTCGGCTGCGGCACACTTGATACGTTCGACTGTCACTGTTGAACAGTAGCAGCGGTAGCGCAATAAGTAAGACGTTGACTTCGTAGGGAGCGGTGCACTTGGACACGGTGCATTTTGACACAGCCAATCACAGCACCGTGTGATTAGAGACATTTGTAGGATCCCTTAGAACAGCGACTTGTGATTGGACTGTGTCCAATTGCCCTGTGTCCAATTGATATACACCCGACTTCGTACACAATAGGTCGCGTGTTCAAATCTCGTCACGTGCACTTTTTTTTATTAAAAATTTGTTCTTATCTGTAATTATTTATATTATTGTAGATATACACGAAAAAGATTATTTAATTATATTTATATATTTTCTTTATAAATAAAATTTTTAAATTTTTAAATAATTATTGTAATAATTTGAAAAATCTGTATAAAGAAATATTATCTTTATAAATTTCATTTTAATTATTTTCATTTTAAATTAATTAAAGAAAATTTGTGCATTATGGTACACAATCATACATGAAATAATTTTCTTTAATATTTAAAAATCTATGTGGTTATTTGCAAAATGGTAAAGGACTTTTTTGTTCAGTTTGACTTAATATATAAGTATATATTATAATAGCAGACGGCACCACTGCAGCTTGTCTACCATATCGCGCGTGATTATTCATCAATCTTTTTTAATTAATATCTTGACTATTATTACGAATATCGCACAGGATTTTCTTGTTCTCCTCAATCCATTCTACGTTCTCATAAAGAGTCATCATGAAGGTTTGAGACACCCTGTATAACCGAGCTTCACCGAATGTGTAACGAACAAAAATAAATTATTGTTACATTTGAAATCGCGTTACTATGTTCTTTAATAATTTTCCCTAATTATATCCCTCTTCCTCTCGATATCGCCTTGCGCTCGTGGTCCGTCCCGAAATAGAGATTTAGTTCTTTGACCCGAAAATGACCACCCGACGTACGTCGCAAGCCAGAGTAAAGGAACCCTTCCGGTTCTTGACCTGTCTCGCTACAATTAGGTATGCGCGGGATTTGCTACTACGCGCGTGGCCGGCCCATTCAGCCGTCGCAAGCGGATCCGTCACGTAACACACAAAGCATTAATTATAATTTTCTTATAATATTATTTAGTAAAACAACGAAAATAAACTATTTAGGCCAAATATTTTAGGGAGCGGTGCACTTGGACACAGTACAATTGGACACGTTGCAAATGG